CCCTTAAACCCGTGCAGAAAGACATCTCGACTTGACTGACTTTGTTGTTTCCGGTGAGGATGTCTTTGAGAGAGAGGGAATGTGAATGGCTGAGGCTGCTGTAGCGCGAGGAGGATTTAGCAGCTTGAGGAGATGAATGGCTGTTGGTACATTGACACTTTTACGTCCCAAATGGCACCCTATTCCTTTTTAGTGCACTACTTTTGACCAGAGCCTTTAGGGTTCAGGTTAAACTTAGTGCACTATGTAGGGTATATGGTGCCATTTGGGATATAGCCTTTGTATTTACTGACCACACAGACCGTCCCATAGTGCCCATATGATAGGAGGTGCCCATATGTAAGGTCGTCATTCTAAAAGATAATGTATTTTCAATAACTTACCTGATTTAATAAAGGCAATACATAAATAAAGAAGGAAGTAAGAAAAAAAACTATTGTGCATACCAATTTGATACGATAAACATAAGTAACATTTGATACGATAAACATAACAAAGTCACATTTGATTTAAGCTGCTATATGGATAAATAAGCACCTGGGCAATGCTGAGTAAGCTGCAGGCAAACATTGTGGAACATTGCAGAAAGAAATATCATGAATAAAGCTGACATGATTCCTGATTCTACATGTCAGAGTGGCATGTTTGTTTTACATGTTATATTTTTATCAGTGTTGTGTACTGCTGAATGCACAACATTCCCACTGAGTACACACTGGTTGAATTAACGTTGCTTCTTTGTCATTTCAATGAAATCACGTTGAACCAACGTGGAATAGATGTTAAATTGATGTCTGTGCCCAGTAGGTTGAGTGTATCAATATAGTGGAAATGTTCATGAGTTAGAAGCCTTGTCCCAATGAGGAGAGCTGAGGATATTTTTTATCCATCTGTACATGGGCGGTGAAATACTTCCCTCTATTAATGTGTTGCTGCTATTATATCACTGATCCTTGCAGTGGAGGCAGCAGAGTGTCTGAAAAAGCAGCTGTATCTGCACTGTTACCACTCAACTCAAGCTTCTCACACACTGACGGACGCCCACACACACTGACGCACGCACACCATCACACCTACGCGCACACACACATACAGGCAGATGGACGTATGCATTTACAGATGCATGCATGCACGTACACGTGGATGTCGATTAAGGCAGCCCCCCGCACCTCTCTGATTCAGAGGGGTTGGGTTAAATGTGGAAGACACATTTCGGCTGAATGCATTCAGTTGTGCAACTGACTAGGCATCCCCCTTTCCTTTCACCCTACTCCCCCACAGTAATCAGGGGACTGGGAGGCTCATTACACCAGATGAAGAAGCTTTCCGCTTTTCCTTCCGACCAACCGCACCTCATCACCCCGGACACAAAAAAAAGAAACAAAGACAGAAAGAGAAAGAAAAAGAGAAAAGAAAGAATCTGAAATCCATGCAAAAGAAATGAGTCGTAAACATGGATTTTTCATCAGGGTTGCGCTAATCAAGAGGTGGTGGGCGTGGCAGGTCTTAGCTCCACACAAAAGCCATGTAGCAGTGTGTGAAGGAGCTATTCAGAGAGAGTTAAAGTGGGTTTTGTCCTCCATCATTGGAGCAGTAAGACAAGCAGTGAGAGAAAAAGAGAGAGAGGCAAACACACAGAACAGTAGCCACAGGCACTGGGAAACACTTGAGTCTGACAGGGGCTGGCTGGCTGGTTAGCTAACTGACTAGCAGGCTGGCTGAGAGACTGACTGGCTGGCGTTGAGCATTCAACTCCCCCACAAGACGTGGGTGGCGGATTTTTTAAAAACCGCCTGGATCCCACCTCATGTGTGTTTGCACTGGACAGCTCCAAATAGAGAGGTACATAAAAAGTATTTGCACTTGGCCTCCGGTGTTCGGCGGATGAGACATTACATGGAGAAGGCCGAGCTGCCAGATACTACAGATACTACAATGACGAGCAGAGGCTCAGTGGCAGTGCACTGGCACCCTCCATAGGTTACAGACAGGACTGTGGACAAGTATTTTTCTGTTAATCAGCCAGAAATGACATTCATTTAAGGTACAATCTGCAATATGTACAGCTGTTGGTCATTTTAACTAAAGAGGCAATTTGGGATTGATACATGCATTTTTTATGGCTATATACAGTGGGGGAAAAAAAGTATTTAGTCAGCCACCAATTGTGCAAGTTCTCCCACTTAAAAAGATGAGAGAGGCCTGTAATTTTCATCATAGGTACACGTCAACTATGACAGACAAAATGAGATTTTTTTCTCTCCAGAAAATCACATTGTAGGATTTTTAATGAATTTATTTGCTAATTATGGTGGAAAATAAGTATTTGGTCAATAACAAAAGTTTCTCAATACTTTGTTATATACCCTTTGTTGGCAATGACACAGGTCAAACGTTTTCTGTAAGTCTTCACAAGGTTTTCACACACTGTTGCTGGTATTTTGGCCCATTCCTCCATGCAGATCTCCTCTAGAGCAGTGGTGTTTTGGGGCTGTCGCTGGGCAACACGGACTTTCAACTCCCTCCAAAGATTTTCTATGGGGTTGAGATCTGGAGACTGGCTAGGCCACTCCAGGACCTTGAAATGCTTCTTACGAAGCCACTCCTTCGTTGCCTGGGCGGTGTGTTTGGGATCATTGTCATGCTGAAAGACCCAGCCACGTTTCATCTTCAATGCCCTTGCTGATGGAAGGAGGTTTTCACTCAAAATCTCACGATACATGGCCCCATTCATTCTTTCCTTTACACGGATCAGTCGTCCTGGTCCCTTTGCAGAAAAACAGCCCCAAAGCATGATGTCTCCACCCCCATGCTTCACAGTAGGTATGGTGTTCTTTGGATGCAACTCAGCATTCTTTGTCCTCCAAACACGACGAGTTGAGTTTTTACCAAAAAGTTATATTTTGGTTTCATCTGACCATATGACATTCTCCCAATCCTCTTCTGGATCATCCAAATGTACTCTAGCAAACTTCAGACGGGTCTGGACATGTACTGGCTTAAGCAGGGGGACACGTCTGGCACTGCAGGATTTGAGTCCCTGGCGGCGTAGTGTGTTACTGATGGTAGGCTTTGTTACTTTGGTCCCAGCTCTCTGCAGGTCATTCACTAGGTCCCCCCGTGTGGTTCTGGGATTTTTGCTCACCGCTCTTGTGATCATTTTGACCCCACGGGGTGAGATCTTGCATGGAGCCCCAGATCGAGGGAGATTATCAGTGGTCTTGTATGTCTTCCATTTCCTAATAATTGCTCCCACAGTTGATTTCTTCAAACCAAGCTGCTTACCTATTGCAGATTCAGTCTTCCCAGCCTGGTGCAGGTCTACAATTTTGTTTCTGGTGTCCTTTGACAGCTCTTTGGTCTTGGCCATAGTGGAGTTTGGAGTGTGACTGTTTGAGGTTGTGGACAGGTGTCTTTTATACTGATAAGAAGTTCAAACAGGTGCCATTAATACAGGTAACGAGTGGAGGACAGAGGAGCCTCTTAAAGAAGAAGTTACAGGTCTGTGAGAGCCAGAAATCTTGCTTGTTTGTAGGTGACCAAATACTTATTTTCCACCATAATTTGCAAATAAATTCATTAAAAATCCTACAATGTGATTTTCAATTTGTCTGTCATAGTTGACGTGTACCTATGATGAAAATTACAGGCCTCTCTCATCTTTTTAAGTGGGAGAACTTGCACAATTGGTGGCTGACTAAATACTTTTTTCCCCCACTGTATCACTTCTTGAAGAATATATTGTTTTAAATACCTCATGAGATTAGTATTCCAATAGTCTTACCAGATCATAACCTAAAGTATACAAACAATGTATAGCTTTAAAACATGTTCAATACTATAATTTTCATTTCATGGACTGTCAGTCCTTGCATCCATAGGTCCAAATTGAAAGTGGTTGGTTAAATGTCTCCCCATTCCTCAGCTTCATAGCAAACCAAATGGTAGGGCTGCCGGTTAGCTGAATAACAAATTAGAATATTCCTCTGACCACAGGTGAAGAATCAGTGGTATTCATTGAATTAAGAAACAACTACCTTATTAATCTAAATTAAGAGAAAATGGATTATGTGGTAAACCTGTGGAAAATAAAACTACTAGATTACCTTGTAACAAGTTATGCTATAATACCCCTTTTAGACTAAGTACAATACTTTAAACCCCAGGTTTTACAATTGTGTTTTTATAAAGCATGGTTTTTTTTTCTACTCTTTTGGTAAATGCAACCATATGTCCCATTGGAATGAGATACAAGGAAGGAGAGAAACGGAATGACAGCTCGCCTGAAAAACTCTCTATAGAAAACTTTGGCAAAACAGAGGCCCGAATATTACACCCTAAAAGATTCTTCAGCCATATCTCATGTCCTGTCCATTCAATGGAGTGTGGGGATTCACATTTTCTCTACTAACTTGAAACAGACCTGTCAGATGACCAAAGAGGAATCAATTAATGAATCCTGATTAGTATTTCAGCAAAGCCCTCTCTAGGGAACAAAATGAGTCAGTTTGACGGTGGTGCTCGCCAATAACGGAGACAGCGAATAAACAAATACATCTTCAGGGAGGGAAAATTGCAACCATATTTATTCTGCTTTGGACAATTATTTTGTATATTAACAAATTGACTTTGATCACAATTTCCCCTAAAAGTGCCTTGAGACAAATCTGGTTAGCGCCTGCACAAATCTCCCAAACCAAACACATGCTGAGCAGAGAGAGTATCTGAGTGAGTCTCACACAGTGCTTATAAGGCAGCCGCAATGGCACGGAGAAACCATTCCAACATCTAAGGAACAAACATCCCCAGGCTGACATTGACACAGACAATAAAAGCTGTCCAATTACTCTCCGAAAGATTTAAAAGGAAATAGATTGGCTGACTTTGAGTAAACATTGGTTTCTCTCCAATCAAAGAAGTAGCTGAAAACTACCATCTAGTTCTAGTAGGATGCCTTGGTGGTGACTCGGTCAGCGAAGTGAGCTTTATCTGAGACTAACATGGGACATGGAGACGAGCTTCCGGGAGCCGACCCAGAGAACATCCATAAAGCTGTCCACAGGGCCATGACGAAACCCACCAACACCCGGCCCTGCGGTTAGAGAGGGAGAACAGAAAGAAAGGGACACAACGCAGAGACAAAGACAGGGAGACAACACAGGGACAAAGACAGGGAGAGACAGAGAGAGGGACAAAGAAAGAGAGAGAGAGAGAGAGCGAGACAGAGCGAGCGAAAGAGAGGGGGGGACAACATAAGGACAGAGAGAGAGACAGCACAGGGACAAAGAAAGCGAGAGACAGGCAAAGAGGGACTAAGGGAAAGGAAGACAAGACACAGAACAAGAGGGGAACAGATATAGAAAAAGAGAGATCGAAAGAGCAGGGTGGGTGAGGGAAAACTAGTGGATGTCTGTGGGGACTCATCCCCTTGCTGTTTGACGTTTGGCTGGGGAGACTGAAACCGGAGCCATAGCGTCCTATTACCAATGAGTTCTCCTTGTGCTGGATCCCAGTCCCTCTCCTCACGCTCGCAGCATTTGGGTTCAATCAAAGAAATCAACTCGGCCACGGTTGTCTTGGTCTCTGTTGAAATTGTGGGCCTTGCTCCATCAAAGGCAGGCCAGTCGAGTACATAGATACATCACAATATGTGGCTATAGTAGTTGACAGAAAGATAAAGATTGCAGATGTGCATGCGTCAGATCCCTTATGTTGATAAAATGGAGAAAAATATACTACTTTTGATAGGAGTAAAATATACTGCTTTTGATAGGAGTAAAATATACTGCTTTTGATAGGAGTAAAATATACTGCTTTTGATAGGAGTAAAATAAACTGCTTTTGATAGGAGTAAAATAAACTGCTTTTGATAGGAGTAAAATATACTGCTTTTGATAGGAGTAAAATAAACTGCTTTTGATAGGAGTAAAATAAACTGCTTTTGATAGGAGTAAAATAAACTGCTTTTGATAGGAGTAAAATATACTGCTTTTGATAGGAGTAAAATAAACTGCTTTTGATAGGAGTAAAATATACTGCTTTTGATAGGAGTAAAATAAACTGCTTTTGATAGGAGTAAATGTACCATGCTGTCATGTTTGTGTTTGCTACTCTTGATTGAGCTATGATAATTCCAACACAGTGAAAGTACGTTAAAAGTGTCAAAGAAGGGTCTAATTCATATAATTTAATCTCCTTCGCAGCCTAACATGTCAAATCATGTCTGAAACTTCAATTTCACAATGTAGATATCACACACACACACACACACACACACACACACGCACGCACACACACTCCGACAAAACTAGAAAATGTGAGTTGGAGTTGGAGCCCAGCTGCTGGCTGACAGATGTGACAAGCCAAACCTAGGTAATCTCCTCTTGGTGCATGTGGCCAGGGTCTGATTCAAATCTATATACGGCCTGTAATGGAGCCCATCACATCTCATTACATGGAATATTACAGAAATGTGAACCCTTAAACTGCTTCCAGTCAACCCGAATCTTGTTTGGACCTGAAAAGTTGTTCTGTGTGTAACCCCTGATTTATGATGGATGAGGTTGATAATCATCTTCCAAGCGTATTATTTTGTGTTTCTGTTTCGTATAAACAGTACTCGGTAGAACCAAACTGTGTTTATCCGATTGAAACAGCAATAACCAGGAGTGTTCTTATTTTCTTGGTTCTAGCTGATCTTGTGTCGGGTAGTACGCTCTGGGAGGTACCCATAGCCCCCTTTGGATCTTTCTCCAACCATACGACCAGCCTGGAATGGGAGCCACAGTGTCAGTATCGCCACCTGCAGGACGGCGTCAGAATCACAGCCGACATTCCCCCAAAACTGGAGGGCAGCTGGGTGTCAACAAGGCAAGTGTTGTCCAAATAAAGTTTAGAACGGTACAGGCTATTTCCTGAATATGCACCATCTAACACATCCTTTGTGATCTAATGATGAATATGGGAAACTCTTCCACAATTGTCACTTTTTTTGTCTTTGTGGAGGTGTGCTCGGTCTAGGAGCCTCGAGGTGATTCAGAAGGTTGTTGTTTGCATAAGACACCCAGATAATTAATTATTTCATCACATTTCATTCAAGTCAATCAATCCATCAATCAATCAATCATCCATCCATCTAGCTGCTAAAATGGAACTGACAATCTCCCTTCAACCTCTTTCTCCCTGTAGATGTGAAGTTCGGCCTGGCCCTGAGTTCCTGACCCGTTCCTACACCTTCTACCCAAGCCGCCTGTTCAAAGCCCTGCAACACTACTACACTGACAGTGGGTGCGAAGAGCCCACCTACTCTCTGGTGGTCCGGGGCAAGCTCCGTCTTCGCCAGGCGTCCTGGATCACCCAGGGTGCCACTGAGACCGAGCACCACCTCCACAAAGTGGGCATTGTCATCCACAGCCCAGGCGCAATGCACCAGCTGGCCGCCCGTCTACCCCCTGTGTGTGTGGGCCTCACCCTGGGCGGCATGGTGCCCGGGCGCCTGTACGAGCTGTACAACGCCCGGGCAGGGAGGGATTGTCTGGGTGCCTCGTGGTACTCGATGATGGAGCTGGGCTTGGTGAGAGTGGAGACCCAGCATCAGCCAAATGGAGGTCTGGTTCAGGAGCTCTTCCTTGGGGACGTGCACACAGACTGGACCCAGAGGACATACTATCGACCAACGGGCTACCAGCAGCCACTGCAGAACGCTATGGTGAGATTACGGACTCCCCATTAATAAGATACATGTAGATTAAGGATTTTATTAAAATGTATTTCAGGACATTGTAAGTGAATTTGGTAATTCTCGTTCTATCCATTCTTCAACTGATGCTGAATACCTTTCACAGTGATACACTAACTGAAACATAAACAGTGTCCCAATCTCCAAACGACCATACTACTGTATGGTCAATACATGGCTTCATATTAAGTAGCCTGCCATTTTGGATGACAGTGGATGACATTCTACTGTATAACCCTAAACCTTACCTTTCTACATCTATTTTCTACCAGCACCACATCCACCCCTGCCCGGCGTGCGCCCTGCTGTTCCGGGCCTCAGAACAGCGCCCCCCGGTGTTACCCCGTGTCCCTGCAGCAACCCCTCCATCTTTGGACGGCCGCTGGGTGAGCCAACGCTGCGAAGCCCGGCCCGCCGTCCTCTTCCTCACCCGAGACTTCACCTTCCGCCCAGATGAGCACTCATGGGAAGGCCTCTACCACCACTACTCGGACCCCTCTTGCAGCCAGCCCACCTTCACCCTGCGGGCCTCGGGCCACTACGCCCAGGGAGGCCCCTCGGCCAAAGTGGCAGGAGGCACTGAGTTTGTCTTCAAGGTAACCCGGGTCAGAGTCACCGTCCTGGAAGGGGCCACGGCCAGGGTGCTCAACGAGACCAGGCGGGGCAGCTGCGGGAAGGCAGGGGGGTGGGAGGTGGGGGTGGAGCAGGACGTGACCCTCACGGATGGGTGTACCGTCCTGGGGATCAAGCTGCCGCACAAAGAGTACGAGCTGTTCAAGACAGAGCTGGACCATCGACGGCGCTCTCTGCTGTTCATCGGGGAGAGGCCGACGGATGGCTCCAGCCCTGACCGGCCCCAGAAGAGGCCCACGTCCTACCAGGCCCCCATGGTGCATTGTAGCGAGGAGGACACCCCCACATCGCAACGCCACACCAACCAGCTCAAGCTAGCAGCTAGTGGAACCAATAACCTACCACGGCTCCCTGGCTTTGTCCTAGTACTGGTCTCTTTACTGTGGGGTTGGTACTGTGTGTTCTAGAGACAAACTGAACATTGGAGAAGAACACACACAAACGATGGTGGAGCTGCTCATGGTCAAGGAAGCTCCATGTGCTCCTCCTCAATATCAAGATAATGCCAGACCACATAATAGATGGCCAAAGCCATCTTCAAGAAAACTGTACATAGACTGTTAGTGTATTCATGTTGCATATCTATCATATTATATATGTGTATCATTTTGTTTTCTTTTAAACCAGAGATGCCTTTTGGCCATTGCTTAAGTCACGTAAGAGCTCCTTTCTCTAAAGAGTTATTTTTCCTTCAAATTACACAGTGGCAGATTCAGACTTAGGAAATGTACTCCTTTCCTACGTACTTCTCAGTATTTGGTATTCAGACTTACCTTATTCAGTCGCGTAATGCGCTCTGCAGGTGTGGCTAACTTGCGCGCTCCCAATAAATGTAATTCATCCAATGAAAACCCTCCCACTTGCTGGCCAACAGATTTTCTCGTGGAGTTTTCATTCAATAGGGTTTTCACATAGAGAATGATAGAGGCCTCTAGTTGCCAAAAGGCCCTGTAAGCATGGGCAGCGCCATTGAGGGCTTCCACCATTTTAACGTGGTCAACTGGGTGGGACTTCCAACTTCATTGGCTGATCCCTCCTGGTGACCCTGTTAAAGTTATGTCAAACCAGGTCATCAGGAGGGATCAGCCAATCGTGAAGAAGAAAATGGACTACTTCAAAATGGAGATAGCCTCAATGGCGCCGCCCATGCTGTCACAGACGCTATAATGGCACAGATAAAAGATGAGTCCTCTATCTCTCTCTATGGGTTTTCAGTATATTTATCTTAAGCCATCCCTTTAAATACGGTGTACCTTTTAGTTTGAATTTTGTCAACAGATTAACTAGAACATATCGTAAGAACGGGCTCCGAATATTAGTGATCAATGAGGGGGGGGGGGTGTTAAGGAGCACGGTTTGACAGGTCATGTTTTGACCATCGCCTCTCCAGAGCTCATTGGGGAGTTGCAGTAATGACACAAGATCGCAATTGGATCGCAATTGGATATCACGATAATTAAAAAAATTGAGTGGCTTGATTCTTCCTGAAAGTTGCCACATTCAGTTCTTCAACCCATGGTAATGTTGGAAGATTAGTGTACATATAATTATAATAGGGAGAATAGTGTACAATAGTAGGCCATACCCTCATCTACTGCCTGTATTAACCATGGAACTGTGTAATTACACGCCATGCATCGGGTTCAAACTGTTACAGCTTTGTCTGTGCTCCGCTCCATAGCCTACCTTTTAAATATGATCAACTGTTACTAATGATCCGTGACGCCGTTTACAGAGGAAGCAAATAAAGGTAAACGAAACAATGTAATTAACATGGGATGATAATGTAGGTTGTACTAACTGAAGGGAACTAACAGTAAATTGGCAGTTGAATATGTGTTACGGTTATTAGGCTTACTGACGGTCGATACTGATAGTGGCTAATATTAACATGATAGAAATAGGAAACAGAGGAAGTCGGGGTAGCCTAAAATTAAGACATTCGAGAGTGCCCATCCCCAACCTGGACTCAGGGGTAGACGTAACATAGTAAATGTAAATCCGGGACACTCCAATAAGTATGATACTGCATGTTACGTTTCAGAAAGTATTCATACCCCTTGACTTATTCTACATTTTGTTGTGTTACAGCCTGAATTCAAAATTGATTAAATACATTTGATTTCTCACCCACCTACACACAATACCCCATAATGACAAAGTGAAAACATGTTTTTAGAAATGTTTGCAAATGTATTGAAAATTAAACACAGAAATATCTAATTTAAACAAGTATTCACAGCCTTGAGTTAATACATGTTAGAATCAACTTTGGTAGCGATTACAGCTGTGAGTCTTTCTGGGTAAGTCTCTAAGAGCTTTGCACACCTGGATTGTACAATGTTTGCCCATTATTCTTAGCAAAATTCTTCAAGTTCTGTAAGAATTGGTTGTTGATCATTGCTAGACAACCCTTTTCAAGTCTTGCCATAGATTTTCAAGCAGATTTAAGTAAACACTGTAACTTGGCCACTCAGGAACATTCACAGTCTTCTTAGTAAGCAACTCCAGTGTAGATTTGGCTTTGTGTTTTAGGTTATTGTCCTGCTGAAGGTGAATTAATCTCCCAGTGTCTGGTGGAAAGGAGACTGAAACAGGTTTTCCTCTATGTAAAAAAAAAGCATCCATTACTAAATACAAATCCTAACATAAAAACATGGTAGTAAAAAATAGGTTTACGAAATATGAAAAGTGGATGCTAGTTAGACATGATGGAGCTTTTTCAGGACCTTGTCTTTCAAAGATAATTCGTAAAAATCCAAATAACTTCACAGATCTTCATTGTAAAGGGTTTAAACACTGTTTCCCATGCTTGATCAATGAACCATAAACAATTAATGAACATGCACCTGTGGAACGGTTGTTAAGACACTAACAGCTTATAGATGGTAGGCAATTAAGGTCACAGTTATGAAAACTTAGGACACTAAAGAGGCCTTTCTACTGACTATGAAAAACACCAAAAGAAAGATGCCCAGGGTCCCTACTCATCTGTGTGAACATGCCTTAGGCATGCTGCAAGGAGGCATGAGGACTGCAGATGTGGCCAGGGCAATAAATTGCAATGTCCGTACAGTGAGACGCCTAAGACAGCGTTACAGGGAGACAGGACGGACAGCTGATCGTCCTCGCAGTGGCAGACCACGTGTAACAACACCTGCACAGGATCGGTACATCCGAACATCACACCTGCGGGACAGGCAACAACAACTGCCCCAGTTACACCAGGAACGCACAATCTCTCCATCAGTGCTCAGACTGTCCGCAATAGGCTGAGAGAGGCTGGACTGAGGGCTTGTAGGCCTGTTATAAGGCAGGTCCTCACCAGACATCACCGGCAACAACGTCGCCTATGGACACAAACCCACCGTCGCTGGACCAGAGAGGACTGGCAAAAAGTGCTCTTCACTGACGAGTCGCAGTTTTGTCTCACCAGGGGTGATGGTTGGATTTGCGTTTATCGTCGAAGGAATGAGCGTTACACCGAGGCCTGTACTCTGGACCGGGATCGATTTGGAGGTGTAGGGTCCGTCATGGTCTGGGGCGGTGTGTCACAGCATCATTGGACTGAGCTTGTTGTCATTGCAGGCAATCTCAACGCTGTGCGTTACAGGGAAGACATCCTCCTCCCTCATGTGGTACCCTTCCTGCAGGCTCATCCTGACATGACCCTCCAGCATGACAATGCCACCAGCCATACTGCTTGTTCTGTGCGTGATTTCCTGCAAGACAGGAATGTCAGTGTTCTGCCATGGCCAGCGAAGAGCCCGGATCTCATTCCCATTGAGCACGTCTGGGACCTTTGGATCGGAGGGTGAGGGCTAGGGCCATTCCCCCCAGAAATGTCCAGGAACTTGCAGGTGCCTTGGTGGAAGAGTGTGGTAACATCTCACAGCAAGAACTGGCAAATCTGATGCAGTCCATGAGGAAGAGATGCACTGCAGTACTTAATGCAGCTGGTGGCCACACCAGATACTGACTGTTACTTTTGATTTTGACACCCCTTTGTTCAGGGAGACATTATTCCATTTCTGTTAGTCACATGTCTGTGGAACTTGTTCAGTTTATGTCTCAGCTGTTGAATCTTGTTATGTTCATACAAATATTTACACATGTTAAGTTTGCTGAAAATAAACGCAGTTGACAGTGAGAGGACATTTCTTTTTTGTTGAGTTTAGGTGCAAAGTTGCTAATGAGTTAAAATGCTAAAATTGTCCATGAGATTTGAACACGCAACCTTTAGGTTGCTAGACATTTACGTTATACACCCACCCATCCACCCCACTAAAATGTTTGCCTTAAGTAACCTTTTGTCTCATGTAACCTACCAAACGTAATATATCATAGTAATTGGAGTGTCCCGGATTTACATTTACTATGTTACGTCTAGTCTATGAGACCAGGATCCCTGCAAGTTAAAAGACCATAACATTTGAATTCTGCATAATGGCACAGCATTTCATAAACTTTACTGTGGAAAGTTTATATGCTTCATTTGCTGCCATATGACTGGTTTCACATTTTTCTCCAGCGACTTTAAGGTAAAATAGACATAAAAAAAGTGGCATTTAAATGTACCTTATTCAAACGGATTACTCATTTACAAGCCCTTACCAAGTTGTAAATTACAGTGCATGGAGAATGGTGTTATTTCTATCAGAAAAAATCTAGTAGATGCTTTTTCCACTTCGAACCAGTAGGTTCGCTAGACCTTATTCATGGTTTCCTAACGCATAAAGATGGTTGAATTATTAGGGAATCAAGTCAAGGTCAGAATACAGCGTATCTGTAGACACACATCCGCAACACCTTCATTTATTCGATCTCCACCCCAAACGAATAGCTGGTGAATAGCAAGCTATTCTCATGCTTAAGTTTAAGGTCAGAATACGCATAAAAGTGCATAAAAAGGGAAGTACTGTATGTTCCATTTACGCGTACTTAACTCTGGTCGGAATTCCACCAATAAGGCGGTATATTTTCTAACAAACAAAGCACAAAAAAACAAGACCAATATTGACCAATACCTTCGAAGCACAAGCAACTGACATTCCAATGGACTTCAGGTTGTGCAAATCAGGAACTGGAAGGAAGGAAACGCAAACTTGTGTCTTGTCAACAGGTGTTGACAAAAAACACATTGATTCTCATTGGTCCGGATCTAATGTGTCCTTTTTTGATTGGAGGAAATCCAGACATGACCAGTGCACTAATTGGACTCTAGTTCAGAATGCTATTATACTGCCCAATATCCTCCAATATAACATTGGTGAACTCATTGTAGAGAGAAGACATACAAGCCATATTTATTGTCATTGATTTGCTAATTTTGATATTCAAAAGGAAGATATTGCTGTAATTATTGCATATGCGTTTGTGTATTTTTATATGTTATGTACAGTCTGTC